TAAAGCAAGAAATTAAACTTCAGGTACAGTAGGTCAGTTTGGTCAAGTTTTCAAATGCTATGGGATCTTTAAATATTAAATAGTTTGGACATCGGTTTAGCATCTCATCCTTAGGACTGCTCCTCTTAAAGCATAGTGTTCCTGGTCAACATACTGGTGCATGGGTTTGGAAACTATAGTCCAGAGTAAGGAGCACTGCTTGCTGGTCCGCAACACCATTTACAGCACAATTCTGCTTTTCCTTGGGAGTCTCCCATGCTATTACCAAGTCAAACCTTGCTGTACTTACAAGCTCTGACAAGATCGTAAGATTTAAGAATTTTAAAGTCACATCTTTCAGGATAAATAAGTTTTGTTTTTCATATTGTCTTTCCAAACAGCTTAAGTAGGATGATTGTTTGAAATGTTGAAATGGATGATTTACAGTATGTTAAGTTTTTCAAGTTATTTGAACCTAGTATACAACATACTTTAAAAGCCTCATTTCACTTTCAAATGCAGTATACTGTATAAAGTACAGTACATCATAAATCTACTCAAAGCCTCCACTAGTGTTTGCTGCCATTATTATTCTAACTATATTTTAATAAAGCTTAATTTTACATTTATTTACATTTAATATTTAATGTTATCAATTATTGGCAAAATATTGTTGTTTCTTATCATTAACTTTGTTTTATTATTGTAACTTTTATTTACAATATACATATCACAAGCTTAATTTTCAGTAAATAAGTCTGAGCAACATGGTTTCAGGAACATCAAACATAAAATAAAGCGGAAAGCATAACATGTTTTCTTTCTTAGATTTTGTGTTCATTATACTGTATGCTTGTATTAGGCTGTATGTTTTTAACTATACTTGTTAATTATTCATATTAGAATTTTTCAAACATTTCAGTACAGATACACAGGACCTCGAATAATAAAAATAATAAAAATGATTACGAATGGTAAAAACAAAAATGTCTTACTTATTGACATTTATTTTATATTTATTTTGAGTTAGAGTGCAATAATTCATTTAATGGTGTTTAGGATGTATGTTCTTTCGAACGTTTTGCCACAGCATCTTAATGTTCAGTATTTTGCCAACAAAATAAATGGGCTGTTCTTCTATGAAGAGTACAAAGCAGACTGGAAAAATGGAAACAATCTAAATCTTATTGTCCCCTGTACAGATTTATCAGAGATCAATCTTAACTGCTGTGAAACGCAAATTGAGCAGACCAAGGACAACAAAAAATACTTCCTTGGCCCAATTATTCAGCACTGATGTATGCTGCCACAAACATCACATATTTGCATATATTTCGTATTGCAGTGTTTCCAAATCTTAGCCAGGAAGTAATTTATTGTAATCATAAGATTAATATTGATCAATGGATGACAGAATCTATTTCTAGTTACAAAGAAACAGTTTGGTTCTAAAGGAGAATCCTGTATAAATTAGAAATTGAAATTTATTGGATGTACAGTATTAAGCCCAAGACAAAGCAATATATTGTTAAGAAAGATGATTCTTTTTACTGAAAAGACCAGTATACATTAGTAAGAAATGTGGGTTTCATCTCTAGTCTTTCTTGTTTTAACAAAGCCCTAACCCAGGTTTTCCATCCATTTAGAAACAAACATAAAAAAATATATTGCTTGATCTGCACAAGCTGTTACAACAGTGGAATAAAAAGTGATGATAATTAGATTTTATTATCGATCTGTCCTTGTGCCCGTATGTTTCACTCAATTTTAAAGGACTGTGGAACAGGTAGCAATTATTGAAATTTGTCAGTTGTACAATTATTAACAGTATGCATAAAACAAATACAGATCTATACTGTCAATTGATTTCTCTTTCCACTTCTAAGGAAAATAGAGTATTAAAAAACACTAATTGTGCCTTCTGAGCTGCAGTTTAATTGGTGTAAAATACTGTATGAGAAAAACAAATGATGGTATGCTCTTCACACACTGTGCAGAATACAGAATTTTAATGCTTCTGGTAAAGAGGTCATATGACAATGCCCTGTTACAACACAGTACGATGGTATTACAAACAAGAACTCCTTGACTCCTAGTCAAGAAGCCATGACATATTTAAACTTCTGATTGTAGTAATTGTAACGCATATGGCCACCATTGCAGGTTGTTCGAACCAGCTTACCAACGCGGTGACGTCACCGCCCTTCCCTGTGAATAGCAGGGACCTTAGCCGTCGGGCTGAGGGGAGATTTCCCTTTGGCTCAACTGGCTGGGTCCCTGTTGAGTGAAGCCGATGGCCTGGGTTCGAGTCCCCAGAGGTGGTGGGGGGGCCGACCTGAGGCGGCAGTGGTGAGGGCGCATACCCACGTGAACCTGAGAGCGCTACATACAGTAATGTTGCCAAAACTGAATGGAAGTAATATGTAAGAAATTAAGAGTTTTATGACTATCCAATATACCTAAATTGTACTTTTGTATTTTTGGGGTTAGTAGCTGTCTCAAACCATCTATATTTTGGGATGTAAAAGGGAAGCCTCTAATGTATGGTTTATTCACAATCAGTAAAAAAAAAAACTAAAAAGAGACTAAAATGTAAATCAAGCTACTATATAATAATTAATGCTTGGATTTAAAGGTGCAACATTTTCATTTGTTTAGCACACCATATATTTGTATTAAGGAGGCAAAGTTTAAATACTTCATGCCAAAGATCAACCAATTGGATTAAAAATGTAGAAAAACACTGCAGAGGTTTAAAACAAGGCACTGTCTTTGTGTCACTCCCTTGGCAACCTTTTAAGAAATGTTGTTTTCTTTTCTTTGATAAAAGTGTAGTCTTATTCTATGGTATAGCCTCTTGTATTACAGATGAATAATAATGAATAAAAATCACACTGTATTGTAGAAAATTAGATTATAGAAATCATTGGTTCAATGGGAATTAACATAAACAGTGAAAAATAACACTAGGCATAATATACATTAGTCTTTATAGTATATCACTAAGCGATAAGAAATTCTGCAGTGGAGGGGTGAGAACATTTTTCATTAGAAACGTTTGTAACAATACACAACACTAAGGCCATTAGCATGAATGAAATCACATTCTTTCGTTTCTTTCAAATCGTTTTTTAACATCAAGCTTTTGTTCCCAAGTAATACAATAACGTTCCTTTTCTTTTTACTTCCACCTTCCACACATTAGCAGTATGCTTCTGCTTCCTTGCCACTCATTCTAACAGCAATATTTATATCACTGTTTCCAAAGAAAAAAAATATAGAGCTGAGCAAAGGAAAGGAAATAGAAAGGAAATAATTGCCTGACTCATTTTTTCAATTGTTTGTCCATATTTTTACTTGCTTGTTTTATTTTATTGTTTTCTTGCTTCTTACTTATGGCTCTGTCTGTATAAGCTATAACCCTGAACTTTGATTTAAAATCATATGCTGTGGTTCACTAATTATTCATAATTAATTTTAAATGCTTTAAATGTGTATTGAAATTAAAGGACTTACTTGAATAATTCTTTGATTTGTGTTTTCAAAATGCCAAATTGGTAAAAAAAATATTCATATCAAATTTAGACAGATTTCAGAAAAAATACTTTATTTCTTTGAAATTGCTCTGTTTTACTTTTTATGTAATAAGAAAGTGTTATTCATTTACCCAATTAAAAATAAGTGTGGTACAAATCGAATATCATAAAGATCACTGTATGCGATCCAAACTAGGCTATCTGTCATGACCTCTAAGCGGTAATGTAATATTGATTTGATTGGAGGGTCCCTAGTATTTGTCTTTGGAATCAAGCTTTCCATTTATTTGTCTTTAAGGATTGTAGTGGAAAATATTAAAGTCTGATTTGGCAACAAGCATGTCAGAGAAGGTATACTCTTTATCTGTTTACCATCAATATAATCTGCATAAAATAAACTGTTTTAGCCAAGTGCAAACAAAGTACTCAAGAATTAGAATTTGTATAAACTGAAGTGTATACATATAATTGCTATAGACAAAAAATCCAGTTAGTTATTCATTATTTCTAAAACAGAATACTAAGAAACAGCGTGGTTTAACAACTCCTGCTGCTGCTTCTTGTCCGCTGGTTTCATTTTAGAGACCATGTTGTTATAAAGATGTTAGCTAACATTTGTCATGTTGATATTCTCTACAAAAGTGTCCCTTAGGTAAAGAGGTTTGTTTGGCTAAATGTCACACTTATCTGTGCCTGAAATATCTCTTTTTAGTAGATAAATTCTACTGTTCCTACATTTTACAGAAACATTTGCTGTCATTAAGTCACAAAATCCAAAGTTCACTTGAAACTGAAAGGCACTGCAAAATTCTTAACTATATGCCAGGTAAATATTTCATCAATCTAAGGGAGAGACATTGGGATTCTTAACCTAGAACATTAAAAAGCATATAGTAAGCATCTCAGTAAAATCTCCAATAATCAACCAGGACACAAGATCAATACTTTCCTTTGTGTGTATAAACAGGAACAGTCCAAGAGACCCCAATATGATTCTCCTGCCAACTTCAGCAGTTTTAATTTGAGATAGCATTTTTCACAAGAAGGACACTAGTCGTCTCAAACCAGCAAGTCATTTTTATAAAGTGCCAAAACCCAACAGATTCTGTAAGCAGAACCTGGTGGCAGTATAAATGCTATAGATACAGTATTCATATGGCCAGGCACACTATGGTCCTGCCAGTACCATCATTATAAAATACATATCCAGCCCTATTGTTGAGTTAGGTTTGTATTAGACACATAATGAACATGCAATTCTTCAGAAATGTTTTGGTTTTCATTGCTAGTAATAATTTTATATGTCCAATACATGCAGGAAATATCTAGTGCATTATTGCTCATGTCATAATGGAAACAGAACAATAGCTAATGACTATGCCTTGGCTGTCCAAAGTGGTGGAAGCATTTGCTGATCACAATTCCTTCTCTAATCACATTTTCGACATTTTTTATTCTAATTAAGCTTTTTTCTCTTTTTTTCAGGTAAAGATGAACATCATATACAACTATGGAAGATAATACAATTATCATGAATAGAAATTAATCTCCAATACAAATCTTTGCATATTTCACTTGCCTATGATTTTGACCTTCAAATATTCAGCTTGCATGAAAACTTTAGACAAGGAAATTGAAAGGTTGTTTCCTTTCAGTCAAGGACAACAAACGTTTTGGACTCCAATCAATGAACAGAGACTCTTTTTTTGCTGAGTAACAAATAACTGTTTGATATTAAAGTTAGCAGCAGTAAACTGCGAACTCTTTAAGGACCTATTATTTTCTGGAGGGAATCAGTACAAGATGAAGGAAATATCCATTCATATTTATTTTTTAGCTGGGCTTGCAATGACTACTTTTGTAAGTACCACAGAAAAGAAAGTGGATTGCCCCCAGTCATGTGTATGTGAAATCAGACCATGGTTCAGTCCAAACTCTATTTATATGGAAGCTCCTACGGTCGACTGTAATGATTTAGGACTTCTTGCTTTACCTGAGAGATTACCTGCTGACACACAGGTCATTTTGCTACAGACTAACAATATTGCCAAGATTGAGAATCCTTTGGACTATCTGGTCAATGTAACTGAGATAGATTTATCTCAAAACAATTTATCCTCAATGAGTGATATCAATCTCGGACAGCTGCTTCAACTTTTGTCTCTGCACATGGAGGAAAACAAGCTTCACAAACTGCCTGACAACTGTCTACATAAACTAACAAATCTTCAAGAACTCTACATGAATCACAACCTGATCTCTATTATCACACCAGGAGCCTTCACAGGGCTACACAATCTGCTCAGGCTCCATCTTAATTCAAACAGGTTGCAGATGATCAGCAGCAAGTGGTTTGAGGCAATTCCAAGACTAGAGATTCTGATGATTGGTGAAAATCCAATCATCAAAATCCAAGATATGAACTTTAAGCCGCTTATCAATCTCCGCAGCCTAGTTTTAGCAAGAATGAATCTAACTGAATTACCTGATAACGCTTTAGGTGGCCTTGATAATTTGGAGAGCATCTCGTTTTATGACAACACATTCACAAAAGTGCCCCATGCTGCTTTGCAGCAGGTCCAGAGCCTAAAGTTTTTGGATCTCAACAAGAACCCTATTCAGAGAATACAAAGAGGGGATTTCATGGATATGTTACATTTAAAGGAGCTGGGAATAAATAACATGCCTGAACTGGTGTCAATTGACAGCTTTGCCCTAAATAATTTGCCAGAACTAACAAAAATTGAAGCAACCAACAACCCCAAGTTATCATATATCCATCCAAATGCTTTCTACAAACTGCCCAGACTAGAAACACTTATGCTTAACAGCAATGCTCTGAGTGCCCTGTATCGGATTACAGTAGAATCGCTGCCTAACCTTAGAGAAGTCAGTATGCACAGTAATCCCATCAGATGTGACTGTGTCATCCGCTGGATAAACATGAATAAAACTAATATTCGATTTATGGAGCCTGATTCATTGTTTTGTGTTGAACCACCTGAATATGAAGGCCAACATGTAAGGCAAGTGCACTTCAGAGAAATGATGGAAATATGTCTCCCACTAATTTCACCAGAGAGTTTTCCTTCACATATAAACACAAAAAATGGGAGTTCTGTTTCATTACATTGCCGTGCATTTGCAGAACCAGAGCCAGACATCTACTGGATCACACCGTCTGGCAATAAAATTATACCTAATACAGTTTCTGATAAGTACAATATGCATCCCGAAGGAACAATTGATATCTATGACATCACCGAACATGAAGCTGGATTGTATACATGTGTTGCTCACAATCTTGTTGGGGCTGACCTAAAAACTGTTTTGGTAGAGGTCAACGGATTCTTTCCACAGCCTGCTAATAGCTCTTTGAATATAAAAATAAAATCTGTACATCCAAATTCTGTTTTGGTGTCTTGGAAGGCATCCCATAACAGTTTAGCTCCAAATATCAAATGGTCTACTACAACAAAAGCAAACAATCCCACAGCTGCATTTACTGCTAGAGTTCCATCTGATGTTAAAGTGTACAACCTAACGCACCTGAATCCCTCAACAGAGTATGAAGTATGTGTGAATATTCCCAGTATCCACCAGAAAAACAACAAGAAATGTGTCAATGTAACAACAAAAGAATTAGAACTTGCAGTACAAATGAGCAAAAAGTGGAACACAACCCTGATTTCTCTCTTCGGTATACTTCTGGGTGTGATATTTGTGACCTGCTTTCTGATTTCTGCATTTCTAAAAAGCAACTTCATTTTAGGAAACTTAAGAAATTCCAATTCAAAGGCTTCACCAGTGGCTATAGATGAATTATATTCTCCACTTACGACCCTCTGGGTTTCTGGAAAAGGGACGCCTGCAGCTGTGGAAGTAAAAGCCACAGTAATAGATGTATCAAACAATTTCTTATAAAACATAACTTCAAGACATTTTTATTTTATACAAAATTGACAAAGCGAGGGGGAAAAGCACAAGACTTTATTGATCGTGCTTAATATGCCTTGACGCCAACTTCCTGGAACGTTTTAATACAAATGCAGAGGGTCCACACACATAGTGAATGGAGATCTCATTTGTTAATTATTTTGCTGTTCCTATTAAGTGGCATAAAAAGAAAATGTACCAGCAAGTGTTATTTGCAGTTACTATTTCAAAATGTGGTATTCCTGGGTACAGGCTAACATAGCGGAAATGGAATAAGGAAAAAGAAGAAAGATACGTCTCTGTTATTGACTGTTATATATGTAAAGAGTAGTGGAACTATCCTTGTGGTCCCAAGCAATACCTTCGTGCTGTATTACATACATAGGCAAGCTAGAATGCCACCTGTGGTGTTTATAATGGAGAAAATACAGTAGAATAGATGATAACAGTGACTATGATGTGATATACTTTTTATGACAAAATATACATTTTTGATTTAAATAAAAATGGGTATTGTCTTTTATTAAAATCTTTATCTTACACAGTTTTATGGAGATTTATTACATCAATGTGAGTAAACTTATAATCATGAAGATGCAACTGTCAAATAGAAAATCCTGTTTGAAAGATACTATACAGTATGTTACTGAGGTGCCTATACAGTATATATTTGTATTTTGATAAAATGGACACAACCCTTGTTCCAGTCATATTTTTAAAACCTCATACAAGGTCTTCTAATATAATGAGAACATTCAGACACAATAAAGTAGTCTGTGAATAGATTGATACATCATTTGGTTTTGGTTTTTATTTGTATACTACTGGTAAAGCAGCTAAATAGAAATAAACATAACCAATACATACAGTAACTTCACTTTGGGGCACTTTGGAATAAATACAAAATCAGTCCCTTACTTTTTACTGAATGGATAATTCTATTGAAAAAATAAGTTGTTTTTTTTCTTAAGAAGATTCTCTCTTAGTCCTTCTGCCCTCCTCTCTCCAACACGGTCATAACTTTCCTTATTCTTTTTCACATCCACAGCTGTTTGTCTGTCCTACAGGGGGAATTAGGTGGGCACAACACTCAGGTATAGTACCTCTATAGTCCCATCCCTGGTTCTGATACTGTGTGCTGTGATCGATGCATAGTAAGAGAAAAAATATAATCTTCATTTATTGCTCTGGAAATAGTTTTATTTCCAAAAGGGCCCCGGGAGGTTGATTTACCCTTCAATGTGATTCTAAAATGTCTTCTAAATTATGAAAGAAACATTATTTTGAAAATGTCATCTTAATCTCAACCAAACAGGCTTATCTCGATAATAATGATATTCAAGAGTTTATTATTAACATATCTGCCACATAAAGGTGGTTAATTGCTTGAATACTATGGGTAAAAAGAGTTTGGGTTTTTTATTCACTGAGTCAAATCTCCTGGGGGAATATAAGAAATATATGTGTAGAGAGCATCAAAAGAAACATCAGGAAAATGACAAACAAAAATCAGCAGGTGCACTTACATTTTATTAAACAGACACAAATAAATTCATTATGCTTGTCTAGTCTTGTCATTAACATGTCTGATCAACAGGAGGTCTAATGTGAAAGTCATAGGCTGGTAGCATGTGTTATCACCTTTGGAAGAAATACAAGCTGTACATTTGCAATGTATGTGTTGCACTGCAGGTTGCAGATGCTGTCTTGTGGGATTCTGTACCATTCCTCTCATACAGCCAGAACTGATCACTGAGTCCTAAATGCTAAACTTGTTCCAAACTTATTCCACATACAGTATGTCCAGTTTGGCTGAAATTTTGTGAGTAGCGCATTCAAAACATTACAATCAATTTCTCATCTTACAAACAGCAGGAGAATATGTGTTGATCTTGTTGGAATACTATCATGTCAGGAATTGCCCACAGAAAGGACAGTAAAGGAGATCCCAGGGCTTGGTCCATGTGAGGTTGTGCAGTCGGAACACCAACAACTACTACAAGTAGAGTTCTATAGCTAAACCTTCCTAACAAGATCATCACATTTTATCCATCTCATTGATTAGCCTGTTGTACAAAATTGTATACATCTACACCACACATGCAGACATGGTCAGGGTGGCCTATACAAAAAGTTGATTAATCATTTAAGAGCACTTGGCTCCAGTGCCAGCGAGTCCTCCTGAGAACACATACTGTAGTATTATGGAGTTAATCTCCACACAAATGGGGCATATTGGATACTTTCTGTTTTTCTTTCTAGATTTTTGCCAAGTCTGACATTTAACAGAATAAATTACTTAGGCAGTTGTGCCCAATGAACTCTCTCATTAATGTTATGATATGAGTTAGTGCTTTTCACTAAAAATATTTTCTTATACACAAATTGAACAAATTGAAGGGACAGTGTGATCTACTGTAGGTAGTGTGTGAGTTAATAAAGGGTAAAGGGTTAATAAAGTAATGTTATTATTATTATTAACCTAAAAGAGAAAACCCATGTGGACATTGGGAGATCATATAAGCTCCACGCAGATAGCACTCCAGGTCCAGAATTGAACACAGTGTCCCAGCTTTGCTCAGCACCAATGCTAACCTTTGTGCCACTGTGCTGCCCTTTTGATTTTTTAAATATTTATTATGTACTTCTTCTTTTTCCTCTGTGTAGATTAGGTGGTGTATACAACAAATATTAATTATTGTCATGAGTGCAAGCTTTAAAGCAATAGTAGGAAAACTGTGCAAGCTTTGAATAAGTCTACAAGGCACTGTACAGAAATTGATATAGATGACAGAGTAACAGCACATTTATCCACACCCTAGGACAAATATAAAATTAATCTATTAAAAAGGAGAAATTGTAGTTTTGAAGCATTTGAGAAACTCTGCCAGGGATAGTTAAAATGGTGCAATTGCATTCTTACAGTGCCATGCATTTCTTTTTATCATTTTTTTTAGTATGTGATAAAATATACCTTTTGGGTCTGCTGACATGTTTTTATATTAAATGTTCATTTACATTATTTTTCCCTACAAGTTGAATTAAATATACTGCACTGTCTTGGTTTCTTGAGGTTAATATCAAATTGTGCTTACCAAGGTAAGGTTTGGATAAATACTCCACAACTGTCACAGCGAGCAAATTCCAAAATGACCTTGATATGGCATGCAATTAATGGCACAATGAATATGAAGATCAGTTCTAAAAGTAAAGGTGATTCCATGATAGCACCATAAAAGGAAATATTACTGAAGCCTGATAATATTCTTCTTCTCAATATTATAGGTCGTAGGAAGATTAAATAGCGACTGAACCATTGTACTTCATTGATGTTATCAACGTACATATAAGTGATATTGTTGCACTAATCTAGCAGTAAAGGCTGGCACAGCATATACTTGATCGACTGTCACATTCGTGGCATTATGGGAATATCTAACTGTAATTCCCAGGTTTATAGAAATGTCTTACTCTGACAGGTTAAAAGAAAATATGTGTTAGTCCTCAACGGAGAAGACTGCAATGGGACCTGATTCAAGTATTCAAACTTCTGAACAACATTCACACTTTAAACCAAAAGGATTCTTCAAAATCAACAGTAAAACACAAACCAGAGAACACCAATGGCACTGTTGGGAAGTTCTCTTACAACAGGAAAGGAGGCACTTCAGTACAAAAAGGTTTCTATGAAACTGGAACAATCTACCTACAGTAGCTATGCTGTTGAAGTCAATATTCTTAACTTCTTTCAAGAAACAGTTGGATGAGATTCACAGATTAATTAGCTACTAGCAAATAAGCTGGATAGCCTCATCTCCTTTGTAATCTTTTTATGTTATTATATAAGTATTGTACATGCTGTTCCCGATGGTGTGCAGGATTGTGCAGTGTATGATGCACAGCCCAGTAACCTTATACTATGTTTTACTGTGATAGTGGACTGCACTGCTTGAGAGTCCATTACACTGTAAATTGGTGACATTAGTAGTTTCATAACAGCTGAATGCTGACTGTGAGATATTCAGTTGTGCAGCTGTGTGCCCTTGAGGCCTTACATTCCAGAGTATTCAAATGACTCTTCATCTTTTATTTTCTTTCAGTCATCCCACAGTACCCAGACAGAGCAAACCTGACTGGTTGCTTTTCCTCTTCCCATTCCTTTACACTCATCTACTGTAGGTTCTTGAAATGTGTTTCCATGCATTTTCACTGCAAAAAAACATGTGCAAATGAAAGTGCATTCATGTTTCAGTAGCTAGATGTTTTGACATTTAATGTATGAAACAAATAGGGTAAAGTGTTGTGAATAAACCCCTAAGTGACTGTCTATTTCCAGGATACAATACATCGCAGACTTTCTCATTCAGGATTCATGTTAATTTGAAAACATCTACTATTCTTCAGCAGAATACATACACATACAGTATGTGTATAAAGTCAGGGTGGATGTGTACTGTACATGTTTATTGCCAAAAAAAGAATAAACTCATTGGAAATACAAATCAGACTACAATATACTGAATACTGAAAAACATTAATTATTTAAAGAATATGTCATTGTTTTCTGATGCCCTGCATTTTTAGCATTTAGAAATTTGATTTACAAGCCTAGCTAATGGCACTAAATTGTATCTCATTCTGTTTGAATTTGGTCTGAAGCTAATATTACAAAATGAACAAGGTATATGTTTATTGAGTATGTTATACTTTATTATATTTTTTTCATACCACAAACGGAAATCTGATGCAAACGATCTACTGTATATAGAAGCAGAACACATTTAAATTATGTATTATCTGCAATTCAGAGCAATATACTGTAAAAAAAAATTTGTTATTTTTTACCTTCATTCCCCACACATGTGCTTTTCATTGTGATTTGGAACATTAGGAGAATTTTTTTGAAATTTTAAACAAGCACATTCCTTTTTGCTTGTAGTGTGTCTTCATACTTTTCCCTCTTTAAATAGCTGGTTGTAGTAAATGAAAGAAAAGGCAGATAAATGTTGTACCTGTTATTGAAAAAATAAAAAACTTTTTTCTCACTGGAAAACAGATGTCCATTCCTGAGAACATGAGAATGGCTCCAATAGGCAGTGACTTAACTGATTTTTTTTTCCCAAATATTGCGCAATAAGTTAAAACTGTGACTTTAAATGTCATTATTATTTGTGTTGCTTCCGAAGCATTTGCACAATTGCACAAGATCAGCTTGATAAATACATAATAAATTATTGTTAGTTGACAGCATTAAAAAAATACAATTAAAAATATGAAGATATTCTTAAAACTGAAAAAGAGAGCAAAAAGTGATAAAGCTTTTCATCACTTTTATGTGACGAAGTTCACTGTCATCTCCAACCATCAATATCAATAATGTATCAATAATGTTTATTCCTTTTCCGACAGGCACATCCAAACATACTTACAAGGGAAGGTATACAGTACAATATATACAAATGATGATGACAGCAATAACAGCATCAACGACACCTTCATTCATATAATTATTTCGTATTACTTGTGGCACAGAATTTATTGCTTTAATAATAATTATATCTCTATATTTAGCAGCTATGAAACTGTTTAAATATCTTAAACGTGTCCTACAAAAAATTATGCACAAAGGTATCAATAGAAAGGAAAAAGCCAATATAACTGTATTACTCCTTGAGATCTTGTTATCAAAATTAGCAAGTGAACATACTGAATGGATGTTTATA